CTGAATTGCAGCATCAAATCTAAAAGAGCTCGACCTAGGCTCGTGATAGTTCGGTGTATAGCATCAATGGTAGGAAAAGCCATCCTGTGGGCGAAATTGGAGGTCACAGGTCAAAGGAGGGCGCACTTGATTCGGTTGCCAGTGAGTTTATCAGAAGAATAGCCGGCTACAGTACACGTACGTCAGTTGAGCGCTGTCGCTCTGCGGCACTTGTTATTATATTCTCTTATTATCTATCTATTCTTCTTCTTCAACTCCAGCAAACTACAACAGAGCAATAATTCATAGGTCGACATAATGATTGTCGTCTACAAGTGTCAAACGTGTTGATATATACTCGACATTATTTGCACCTAACTCCCGCTCCTAACGACGTCAGGTTCGAGTGGGAATTCACAGTTGACATAAGTACGGTAATATTCATTCTTCCAATCGGATGACATTTATTTACGTCTCTGCTCAGTGGGGGAGCGCCATCGAAAATCACGACCTGATGAATTATTTCATCTACTTCTGGCCAGAATGAAAGAAGACCCAGAATGAAACATTTGACTCCATTCCCGTTTTATCCTTCTTCTCTATCGCCTGAGCTCTCTCATCGCGTGTCCATATTTTATTTCGAGACATAGCAGTGTAGTTAGATGGGCTCTGACCGCTTCCTGCGTGGTTGCTTGTTGCAGTCGTTGACCACTAACAGTATCACCTTCGACCAGATGGGTCCAGACGGTCCAGCTGGCGGCTTTCCGCCAATCGATTCACACTTTCTCACCAAGCCTCAGATCATGGTCGGTGTGTTCAGACGCAATCCGGTGGCCCTGAAACATATCAACAAGAAGGCGGTGGAGATAACGAGAGCGATTCGCAAAGAGCATAAAATCGTAAGTGCATCAATGTTGGCAGACCGTGTGACGATGATGTTGGTGGTGATTCATCTGGGGTATGACGGTGGCGCTGACGATAGAGGGTTATTCGGCTCTAAAATGCAACCTCCATGTTTTGCCTGGTTTGTTGCATTCTGGGTGGATTCACCCTACTCACTATCATCAGATAATTCGTCTGTAATTACTGAATAAGCGAGTGGGCAGAAACTACTTTCACGGTGCAATCAGATTTCGAATCTGATATTAGTTTTTACTGCAGTAACTACTGTTACATTTCCGCAGTGGTGCATTAATTGTAACAGTGAGAGAGCTAGTCATTATTTCACCGCAAAATTACTCAGGCAAAATGTTACCGTATAATGACTCTCATTTGATATAATATACGTAGCTCCAGTACACGATCTAAATGCAAATAATTCGTTGATGTCATTACAGATGAGAGAAATGAGACATGAAAACATAGTCCCTTGCCTAGGCGCCTGCACCAACCCTGACCACATCTACATCGTTACACAGTACAGTGCCAGGGGAAGTTTGGAGGTGAGTAGGTGCATCCGCAGCAATGCTGTGTTTGTGCGTAGGTTTGGCTATTTACATCGCGCTATAGTTTATTTAAGAGGTCGTAGGTGTATAGGAGAGATCAAGGTACGTGCGTAATCTCTTATTTATTTCCTGAATATAGAGGTGTGATGATAGCGAGACTATTGGCCGCTAGTCGCGTAGGTTGTAAGTGCAAAATGCCGTTCTATTTACGTCCGCTACGCCCATTAAAGGAAACCTTTCTTGCGCAGAGCTCACGTATCGCGGCCTATAGCACTGAGCTGCAAAGAATATGATAAAAAATGATATGACTGATATAAAAAATATGAAAAGATAATCTGGTTGATCATTTCGAGGCAACACGATATTACACGTTTCATCTGTGTGTGTATCAGTATCATAGTTCTACCTGCCTATATCTTGGCGGTGCAGCCATTATATTTATTATTCACCTACAAATATGTAAATACCCATTTGCGGCAGTAATTGATATTATTTTTATTATATATTCATGAAGCTTGACATTGTGTTCAGGACATTGTGTTCAGGATCAACGTTTCAGAGGAAAATAAAAAATGCCTGATATCTCCATGAACTTCCGTTCTCTGTAAATGCATATCCACTCTTAACACGCTACTTTCAAGATCAATGCTATTCAGCATTCAAGTGCAGGTTGAACGAAATTTACATATAATGTCCAGCGATATGATTAATGATTCATTTATCGGCGAGTTTGAACTTCATGATCCAATTACGGGGGAACTGTATTGACTATGCTTAGAGTGTGCGCCTAAGCACACATCGTAGTTTAATAGTCACGGTTAATGACAGTAGATGCCTCTATAGACAGAGCCACACGATTCGCGCTGCTAGTGACATTAACACGTGTCGTCAGGAAATTAATATTTATTCTTATGTGGCTGCTGCATGCACGTTTCTACGCGATAAACATTTTTAGAGTGCTGCCAAGGGCAGCCAGGGGCAGCGCGGGGAGGCGCAGGGTGTATTGCGTAGAAATACGAGCAGAAATACGCGTGTACTATATAGAGTGAAGTATATGTCGCGAAGAGGTAGATCGAATGCCGTTGTAAGAGATCACGAACTGGAAACGAGATCAAATCGATGTTCGCTAGTTAGTATCGAATCTATTCGGATTCGATTCGATTAAAAGATCTTTTAGATCATTGTTCTAGATCACTGATCTTCTAGATCACTGTTCTAGATCACTGTTCTAGATCACTGTTCTAGATCACTAATCTTCTAGATCATTGTTACGCGAATAGTAATGAAAGCGAATCGAAATGCGATGCAGATTCACTCGTGGTAACGGCCACCCTATGAAAGGGAAATGAGGGAATCCCAATCTACTGTTCTCTCTATCGTTAACCTCTGTGATGCCACTCAGCTAGACCGACAACGCTCTCTCTCCCGCACGTACACCCGCACGCCCCCACCCACTCCCAAAAAAAAAACACACACACACACACACACACA